AACCCATAGCTTTTCAGCCCCGCAAAGAACCAATCATGGTGGGGGAGGCGGGCTTGCTGGTGCCGTCGCGCCTGGCTGGCCGGGTAGCGGGAGCGATGGGTGGCGCGCGGCGGGGGTGGGTGGCCACGGGGGTGCGGCGGGGGGCGGGACGAGAGGGCGGGCCGGCGGGGGGGGGGGTGCAGCGGCGGTGGGTGGTGGCGCGGAGGCTGTCTATGGGCTTGGTTTGTTACCGTACGAAAAGGGTGGCCGACGCGGCGCCTCGGGGGGGGGTCGAGTGCAGTAGTTCGTCTGGGGGGGGGGGCGGGGCTCGTCCGGGGCGGCGTTGGGTCAGGCAAGAGGACATCGGACCGGTGGGCCCGATTTGGAGTGGGGGTGGTGCGGTGGTCCGACGAGGTGGATTGGGGTGGTCAGTGGTAGCGCTTGCGTGTGCAGGCTGGTTTTGACGGATTGATTCGGGATGGAGGTGGGGATGATATAGCGGCGAGGGGCGTCTTATCCGCCAAAACGCGCGTCCAAAGCCCCACCATCAGTGATATGCAGCAAACAGCACCATCTAGTGGCCATCATTGCATAGCTTCTGTTAGGGCTTGTTTTTATCAGTGATATGCAGCAAACAGCACCATCTAGTGGCCATCATTGAATAGCTTCTGTTAGGGCTTGTTTTTATCAGTGATATGCAGCAAACAGCCCCATCTAGTGGCCATCATTGAATAGCTTCTGTTAGGGCTTGTTTTTATCAGTGATATGCAGCAAACAGCCCCATCTAGTGGCCATCATTGAATAGCTTCTGTTAGGGCTTGTTTTTATCAGTGATATGCAGCAAACAGCACCATCTAGTGGCCATCATTGAATAGCTTCTGTTAGGGCTTGTTTCCATGCCTGTGAATTAAAATAACTTCCTCCAGATATCGTCTGCTAAATGGCATTGTGTTTTGAATACAGACAGAGAATGTGCATGTCATGGATGTACAGAATTAAAGATACCTTTCCTGCCCTTAATACTTCCCTTTATGCATGTTACACTTGTAGATGAATGCATCCACACTGAAGACAGCTTTCTAAGTGGACTCTCTAAGCGCTGGTTCTGGGAGAAAACGCTTCTGACTAATAATTTTTCAAACCTGAAGCCAGTCATCTCCGAGAGGCTTAACGAAAAAACATCTGGTTAAACCTGGATAGGACGAGGAGTTTTGTTAGTAGTTTGGTAATACTTTAAAACGCACCATTTGTAATTGTATGCTGATACAAGTAACTCAATCTAAACAGTAACAATACACACATTTTGGAGTGTGGTCTTCAGGCAGAAAAACACAACGTTGACCAAAAAACCAACACAATGATGACCACAGAGAAGTAAATCAAACATACAGAATGTCTAGGTTTGAAAATGGTTCGAAACATTAAGGATTATGTAAGTACACAACGTAGATCAAATGGTTTTAATGCAGAACATTAACATATAAACCTTTTAATGAATGCCATTCTGTCAGAGTTTTTCCAGATGTGTCTGTTTGAGTCTTCCTGGGTTTCTCCTGTTTTCTCTCAAACTCCTGCTCTCTGTTGAGTCTGCATGTCTCTGGGTCAGTGTGCATATCTGCTCCAAACGTGGACTTGATAGTGTGCATATTGGGACTTTCTGATGGATTTTGGTGTGTTTTTATGTATGTTTTGGGGTTTTAGGGCAAGTAAAGTGTTTTTGGGTATTGTTTCTAATATAAATTCTGTGTCTCAGGCATGAGCTGCTGGAGGAAGCTCGTATGCAGGGCCTGCCTTTCGCTCAGTGGGACGGACCGACTGTGGTGGTGTGGCTGGAGGTACGACACACACACATTTTAAGATACTTTTTTACTCTTGATTCTTGTATTCAATACTTCATATAAACCAGATTTAAAGATCATACACTTATAGCCAGATACTGGTTTCCAGGTATAGTACATTCCTGGTCTGGTGGCATGATGGTAAAATCTGTTATCAAGTTGAAAGATAATATATTGCATATGTTATCCTAATATGTAAGGGTTGACTAAAACCATAAAAAGTGGGTCATGTTGTTAAAACTTGTAACATGTTTGAAAATAGTTAAAATATCAGTATATAAGGTTATTCAAATCAGCTGTGATGAACACATTAATGGACCAGGACACTTACCTGTATGTGTACACCTTGGTATTCTTACTTAATGAAATGTCTCTCCTCTGTCAGCTGTGGGTGGGCACATTAACGCATCAGCACATTTACTTGTATTTGTACACCTTGATATTGATATTGGTATTTCTACTCTTTCATTTCTACTTATGTGCAATGCCTTGTTTTGTTTGTTATGCTGCTGTAACGCAAACCTTTCCCAACTTGGGATCAATAAAGTACCTCTTGTCTTATCTTAAGTAAATGTCTCTGTTGGGGAGATATTTTCATAGGTCCATAACTTTGACCCAGTTCAGTGTTTTGCTCAATGTTGGTTATTCTCTCAGAACTAGCTAAACACATGGGTCTGGGGTAGAGATCTTCAGAATTGGTTTGGCATCCGCTGTGTCACCTCGTGGCTCAGCGGATGTCCTGTGAATTCTCCATCAGTGTTTGCCATCAAAGTCCCTGCTCTCCTCGTGTCTCTCTGAGTCTCCAATGCTTCAGAAGTTTCCATCACACTCTCACCCATGTTATTAATGTCTCTCTCCTCTCAGCTGTGGGTGGGCATGCCGGCCTGGTACGTGGCGGCGTGTCGAGCGAACGTGAAGAGCGGCGCCATCATGTCGGCGCTGTCGGACACGGAGATCCAGAGAGAGATCGGGATCAGCAACCCGCTGCATCGCCTGAAGCTGCGCCTCGCCATCCAGGAGATCATGTCCCTCACCAGCCCCTCCGCCCCCCCCACCTCCAGAACGGTACTTTACTGACTAGTTCATGTGTGGAGAAAAAACACCCACACTTTATGACTAATAATACTTTGCCTGATCTCAGTCTTTATGAAGCCTCTCTGATTGAGCATGCTGCTTTTATTGCATTAACATTTTAACTACTTATGCACTAATGATGGGGTCAGACTAGTTCACAGAGCTGCAAGTAGGTATGGATTTATTGAGACGTTGTCAACTTTTAAATGTAATCAAAGCCTATTTTGGTAATAGATTAATCCAATTGGGATTTTTTTATTGTATTTTTATCCGATCGTAGAAATTCTCGGATTAAACTTTTTTTAATGTGAATATTTTTTTTTTTAATTTAATATTTAAGTCCTGTAAACAGGGTTGCCATAGATATTAAAATAAGGCCTTCAATTATAATTATGACTATACTATAATATTCATGTCAAAAGTATATATATCATATGTTAAGCTCCAAGACATGGGATTTTATTTCTCCCTATTTTCTGCTGACGTCACAAAAAAACCCAAAATAATGATTGGTAATCTTTTTTTTGCAATTACGTCATAGATTTCGATCCATATAGCAAAACAATTAAGTGTACAATTAGTCGTTAACTTCATTCTTGGGACACTAAACAAGTCTTAAACAAATCTTGGGTCCGACTTGACGTAACAATGTTTGTCTTTTGCACAAACGTCACACCGACCCAGATATTAGTAAAACATTTCTGTAAAAAAAGTATAGAATAGATCCACCTTGCCTTTAGGTGTAGTAACTGTGTTACTATGTGTATATATCAGTAAAGTAAATATCTTCTGAAACATTTGACTAACACAGACCAAAGAAGTAACAGTGATCTGCAGCTCTGCTGGTCTTGATTCTCTAACAGTGATAACCATGAATGAAAAACTCTTCTCTCTCCACTCCACTCTCTCTCTCTGTCCTCCTTCATCACTCTTCCCTCTTCACACACTTCTCTCACTTGTGATTGGGGGGTGTCACATGATCAGACCACAGGAAACGTTTGGGTCACTCATGAAGAAATGGAAAGTTTGGCAGCCACGCCTCCCACGGTTAGTCTACCCTGATTGGCTGGACGCTTCTGTGGTGAACGCCTCGTTTCCAAGCTGCTTTCAGGACAGCCAGACGTTTGTCTCTGTACGCAAAATACAGATTGTCTCGGTCGCTTTGCTGCATTTCTCGAATCAGACTAAACATGTGTTCTCAATAGATTACCTGCAACAGTCTTAGACTACCTTAAGATCCTTAATTTGTCTATAAATGGTAGATACATTACGTCAATGAACACATTAGATACAGAAAAGTTTTGCAAGATTTCGAAAAAATAACTACTAGCGATTATATATTATAAGATTCTGATTTTTGTTTGCATTTTTTTTTAAATATATATATATAAAATGAGGAACCTCACCAAACTAATATTGACGTAATTAATAATTTAGAATATTTGTACAATTATTTATTTTTGCTAAAATGTTCCTACTGCATTTTGTATATTGCACTAGTCCATATTGCATGTTTATTAATTGTTAGGCTCTAGATACACTTGTACTGTATGGCTATATCTACATTTTAACAATACACAGTTGAACTTTAACCTAATTGGGAAACTAATAACAATGTTGGGCAGGATTTATTTTACTTAACAGATTTTAATGTCATTATGGTTCAACGTTTTTGAATGTAATGAATCATGCAGTGACCTGTGTGTTTTTGTTTTGGGGGTTAGACCTGATTTGAGAAATGTACCAAAGCGACTTCAGTTGAATAATACTCTGGCTTAATGGAGTCTCAGCAACTTGAAACACGGCCTTTTGTTTCTGCTAGTTTGTAATTATTCTTTCCTCCGTGTAGTTTCCTGTCTCTCCCTGTAGACCCTCACTCTGTGTTCTGTGTTGAGTGTTAGTGTGTGGTAGAGCTGCTTAGTTTAGATTAGCCTGCATAACTGAGCCAGCCACTACAAGGTAGATGAAATAACAAAATAACAAGAGGGGAAATGCATGAAGGAACCCCCTCCCCCCCCCCCCTTTACTTGAACTCTTCTGGTACAGTGTCATGTTTTAGGATTGGGCGATATGAATGAATATATAAAAACAGAGAGACGATATCACTTTGTCTGCTGGATAAGGTTTTCCCTCAGCGCCCACAGAGGAGGCTTTCATGCCTCACACTGTATCATGTGCCGTTGTGGGACATTTAGTGATTGCTTTAATGCAATATTGGGTTTTTCTATCGATTAATGGATCAGCGAGATACATAAAAACGTGGGTATTTCTGGTTTCGAATTTGCTTGATTTGGGGGAAAATATATATTTTTTCAAACCAAACTTGGGCAAATCAACATACATTTGGACACATTTTCTAGAAAATAATATTATATTTCTACTGCAATATCGGATTAACGTAAGATTGTTTTTTTTAATTCATAGATGAAAATAAGATGTTTGCGTACTTTGCCATTTTTTCAGCTTATTCTTTTTTTAAATGGTAGTAAAGTGTCTTAATAGATTTTCAGAAAATGTAGTATATTTAGGAGGTATTTTAATATGTAAACATAAGACATTTAAAAAACCCACTCTTGGGCTTTGGGGGATTTTTTTTTTTTTTTAAATAAATGAATCAATTAATAAAAAAAAACAATATATTGACAATGAAAATTATTATATTGCATTTAGCTGACGCTTTTATCCAAAGAGACTTACAATAAGTGCATTCGACCAGGAAGATACAAACTTAAAGAAAACAGAATCATATAAGTACATCAGGTTTCATAGATCCAAACATTTCAAGTGCTACTCAACTGGCTTTAGATAAGCCAGTCCTTTATTAGTATATAAGTGCTTTGTTAGTAATTCAATCGCTCGAAGTGGAGTCTAAAGAGATGAGTTTTCAGTCTGAAGAAGATGTGTAAGCTTTCTGCTGTCCTGATTTCAATGGGGAGCTCATTCCACCATTTTGGAGCCAGGATAGCAAACCCACGTGTTTTTGCTGATGGGAACTTGGGTCCCCCTCGCAGTGCGGGTGCAGCGAGCTGTTTGGCTGATGCAGAGCGGAGTGCACGTGCTGGGGTGTACGGTTTAACCATGTCCTGGATGTAGGAAGGTTCAGATCCATCCTACATTTTTAAAGGATGCATTGTTCCATAATAATGCCTTTTTTATAGGATTTTTGATTTATCAATTATCTCATTTGCTTAATTTCCCAATGTTAGCTTTAACAATGTTTTCTAAATAAATACAGTTTCTCAATAGATCTTTTGTAATATTATTTAGGAGAAAAAAGACATTTGAAGAACATCACTTTGGGCTATGGAAATAACTTTATAGACCAAATACCTAATTAATTAATAGAAGAAAAAAACATGTCACAACAGTTTGATCTTGATTTGATTATTTTGCGAACACTGATAAAAATGAAAAAGACTGATAATAAGTGGATTTTTCTTCACATCGCCCTCTCCTACAATTTTCTTATTGTTTTTTTTTGCCTTTCTTTTTCCTGTTTGAATGCTTAACCTGAATTTCTGCGTCTTGTTTTATTATATTTTGAGTGGTTCTCCCACATGCAGCGTGTCAGCCTGCCGCCTCACTAACTCTCTGTTCTCTCACCACGCTCACTCTAACCCGCTAACACCAGGACGATGACGAGGGCAGCTGGGCCCAGGTTTGCACACCTTCCCCCAAAACCCCCTGTTCTACTCACCATCTTTTAGTCAGTGTTTGTGTTCTTTAAGTGTCTGATAGAGGAGACGTCACATTATCCTCCTGTGTATTTCCAGATGTTTCACATCAAGCATGTTTGAGTGGTCCTTTTTTAAATGGTGCACTTTTAGCCCTTAAGTTTGGTTTACAGCAGAGCCATTTGAACTTTAGACACGGTGTACTGCTGTGGTTGTGTGTGTTATACGTTAGAATACAGTCCAAACCACCTGCAGAATATGGCTTTTTATGCTTTAAGGAAACACAGCTGAAGGAATTTCAATACAGGAAAGAATAGCGAATAACGCATTGATACACAAAGCCTTGTTTTGGTGGTAAAATCTCGACTGTGAAATAAAATAACGAACCCTCACTGCCCAAAGAAGTCCTGATTCAGATCAAGAGTAAACCAAATCTATCCCTGAGTTGGGCAGGAATTAGTCTAGGAAATAAGGTCTGTGGTTAACAAACATTTACGAAATGTTTGCGAAGTCTTCTTCAACATAGAATAACAAATCTGCTTCCCTCTGTTAAAACCTAAGAGAGCATCAGAAGAGTTAGCCACAACCAAACAGATGCATTACAATCCAACAGTAATACTGATTGCTTTTAATCCATACATTAAGCTTTTGTAAACAATGACTACATCTGTATTAGTTACTGTTTATTAGTTTCTTATATGATTCAAAGGCTGTTTGTGCCTTAATAGCTACAACTTAGTCTTGTTATTTAAAAAAAAAAGTAAACAACACTTTCCAAACGTTGAAACACACTCACAGAACAGAACGTTAACCCGTGTGTGTTGCTCCTTTAGACGCTGGCGTACGGAGACATGAACCACGAGTGGATCGGGAACGAGTGGCTGCCGACCCTCGGTCTGCCTCAGTACCGCTCGTACTTCATGGAGTCTCTGGTGGACGCCCGCATGCTGGACCACCTCACCAAGAAGGACCTGAGGGGGCAGCTCAAGATGGTGGACAGCTTCCACAGGTAACACATCAGAATCAGAATACCTTTATTCGTCCCACAGAGGGGACGTGCACATGTGTTACAGCAGAAAAGACTCAAAGACATCTTGATGTTAACTAAGAAGATGCATAAAGAAACATTTTACAGATAAAAAAAAAATGAAAAGTTCACAATTTACAAAATACACGTCCTGTAACAGTTCTGAAGATTTAGCAGCCAGGTATATACCGCACATTTATTAACGGCATATATACATATATTGCACAACATTAGTATTTCACAGCAAGGGGCTTATAAAGACTATTAAAGCATGATACCATTAACATCAAATGAATGAAATGTGTCCTTGGGCAAGACACTTCACCTGAACTTGCTCCTGTGGGTATTGTCCACAGCAACCATTACAAAATAAATCTATTATTATTATGTATGATCTGTAGCCTGTGTGTAATGTGTATTTGTAAAGCGCTTTGAGAGTCATTGATAAAGCGCTATAATAAATATAAGGATTATTATAATTCTACCTTAAAGAATGAACACAATAAAGGTTGATATTGATACGGTGGCAATAAAGGAATTATTTGAACCTTTGTTTGTTGCATTAATATCAAAAATGTGAGATATAATGATGATAAAAGGAGCCTTTAGTTTCAAGATTTCCTTTTTCATTCTGGTTCCTTGAGAGTGATTTAGTTTAGTGAAAAGCTCGGCAGGTTTTCACATGAAGAATTGTGTTTGTGTTTGTGCTTCAGGAACAGTTTCCAGTGTGGGGTGATGTGTCTGAGGAGGCTGAACTACGACAGGAAGGAGCTGGAGAGGAGGAGGGAGCACTCTCAGATGGACCTGGAAGGTAACACACACACACACACACACACACACACACACACACACACACACACACACACACACACACACACACACACACACGCACACACACTTTACTCACACTTGGATCACGACTACTGTTAATGTTTTTTTTTGTTGTACTGTTTCGGTTTCTGATTTATATGTAAAGTGTATTTGAGCACCAGGAAAAGCGCTATAAAAATTAAATGTATTATTATTATTATTATTATATACTAAGTGGAACTTTACGCAACAGTTTATTTATTTACTTAATTGTAAATCCGGAAATGGTGTAGTTTTCACTTCTCTCTTTGCTGCAGCAAACAGCACATCAGACACCATCATAAATCACCATAACAGTGCAGATTTACTGCTTATAACACAAACATCAAATATACTGGAAAAACCTGAATGGTTGGCTTTAATTAAATGTATTATTTCAAAACATTTCATGTAACTCTATTAGGTTAGTTGAAAGCAATCATATTAAGTTTGAATTTGTTCAACTTAATATTATTGCTTTCAACTAACCTAATACAGTTGTGTAACAAATTGGAGAAAAACATCACAAAAATGCATAGACACTCTGTTGTCTGAATGTGTTGCAAATGAGCATGATCCCCTTGGGTTTGGAGGAAGTGTGAGGAAGAGGAGGTCATTCTGCTGGATGAAGCTCAGCATCAGTCAGTCAGAGTTATGTTGAGGAGTGTGTGCTCTGTCTTTCACACATGGAAACACCTGTGATATGTAGAGGAAAGAACTGAAAATTAATGTACACCTGAGTATTAGTAAAGTATCCATTATGTTTTTCCATTTGTTTACTTATTATTATTTAATTGTTTTCCTGATTTGTCGATTGTTATGTAGTTAACCTATGTATCTGTGTTTATTTGATTATGCTTTATAAATAATTTCTTAAAATGCAAAAAAAGAAGAAAAAAAAATAATGGTAGGAGGCTGCAGACAATAACTGAATTGTAAAAACTTGAGAATGAAAATTAATAATTTTTCCTGTGGAATCTTAAAGACTGAGTTTTAGTGTGGACTTTCCCTTTAAGTGACAGATTTAGCCTATGCAACAACATCTCCGCGTGCACCTGCCTCAGCACCAGCTCTGCAGCCCGGTAACGGCACCGTCAACCCCCGCACACACGAGGCCCTGGGGGGGGGGTTGGTGGGAGGATTGTTCATTTTTTTAATAACTATCGGATGTTCATTTTTTAATAACTACCTGCTAATACAGCATCATATACGGTCATGTTACTGCGCTATTGACAGCTGAACAGAAGAAGGGAAGGATGGGGGCTTTCCTGTAGACACCTCCGCCGTGTTTTTCTTTAGTTTCTCAGCCATCAGAGATCCGTTTATTTGTTACCGTTAATGCCTCCATCGGGTGTATTCAAGTGGAGTGTCTCCACATGATAACACATGCCATGCTCGTCTTGGTTGAGCGTCTCTGCAGAGCAACGTAGTAAAATCTCTCCCTACTCCACGCCCTATCATTATTATCAATAGATTCCCAGCACCATGTCCCCCCCAGCATCGGCTGCGACAGAGTGTGAAAGTAGCACCACCGTTTTGCAGGAGGACACCAGAGAGGAGGTAGGCTACTATCATTTAGCATGGCTTTTTCATTATCACATTCCTTTTGTTGTGTTCTGTTTGTCGCAGCCAATAATGGATCCATGTTTGAAGAATGTTAGTGCACGTCAAAGATTGCTAGGGATGTTGGTTTAACAATAATGTTCATGCAGTTCAGAATAGCAGAATGTTGAGATTAAACGTTAATGAATGCAGAGTAAAATGGTTGGCCAGGTGATTGTAATCCTAACATCTTTACCTGTCTTTCATCTCCCATCTGCTGTAGTGAGCCAGCATATATCCCTCTAGCGCTTATACAATTACATGAATTTTCTACAGAGCTGAATAAACTTCTTCTTATTTACAAGGGCATTTTTGGTTTAAGGGTAGGGTAACATGACCCGAAAGGTGCTTAACGTGTTGCCGTTATCAATTACATGTAAGGTAGATGATTAATGATAAGATAACAGTTTTGTATGACTTCATCTTTTGTTTTGTCTGTTTGTTTTCGACTCAACAGCAAAAACCCCTGAAGCAGTCTCTGAGCAAGTCACTATGCCGGGAGAGTTTTTGGAAATGCCTTCTTCTGTCCATACTCATGTATGGCTGCATAGGGGCCATGGTTTGGTGTCATGTCACCAAGGTGACCCGCCTCACCTTTGACAGTGCCTTCAAAGGGAAATCCATGATGTACCATGACAGTCCCTGCTCTGATGGCTACATCTACATCCCACTGGCCCTACTGGGAATGCTCTACTTGGTCTATCTTGTGGAGTGCTGGCACTATCATGTCAAGAACGAGCTGCAGCACAAAGTGGACGTGGAGGGCATCTACGAGCGCATCCAACGGATGCTGCAAGCCAAGCCCTGCATCTGGTGGAAGGCCATCAGCTATCACTATGTTCGCAGAACCCGGCAAGTCACGCGCTATCGCAATGGAGACGCCTACACTAGTACCCAGGTTTACCACGAACGTGTCAACACACATGTGGCAGAAGCAGAATTTGACTACAGTCACTGTAACGTCAAAGATGTTTCAAAACAGCTGCTGGGCTTGGAGAAGTCAGCTCTCACTAAGATGCGCTTCACCAAGTGCTTCAGTTTCGCGAACGTAGAGTCTGAGAATTCTTACCTTACGCAGCGAGCAAGGTTTTTCACCGACAATGAGGGCCTTGATGACTACATGGAAGCCAGGGAGGGCATGCACCTGAAGAACATTGACCTGAAGGAGTACGTTATGGTTCTGTCCGACCCAGACCACCATCCCTGGTATCTGTCCCACTACGTCTTCTGGTTCGCCTCATTCTTCACTTTCTCCTGGCCTCTCAGGGTCTTCACAGAGTATCACACTGCATACGTCCACTACCGCGTTGAGAAGCTCTTTGGGCACGATTACATCCCTGTGACGCCATGTGATGATCAGCCATATTGGCAGCGTATCCCTCGTGTTAATACCATTGACAGTACGGAACTGGAATGGCACATTAGGTCCAACCAGCAACTGGTGCCCAGTTACTCGGAGGCTGGCCTGATGGACCTGGCCCAATGCCCGTCCAGCTTCAGCGGGCTCCGTCAGAATTGTGAGCGCTGCCACCGAGCCATCAGCTGCTCCTCAGTGTTCTCCAGGAGTGCGCTCAGCATCTGCACCGGTGCCAGCTCCCGCATCCCCTTCAGCGGCAGCCGCTTCTCCTTGGCGCGGCGCTACGGGTCCCAGCGCAGCTGCTTCTGGAGGAGCGGGAGCTTGGACGATCAGGAGAGCCCCAGCGAAAACACCCGCTGTCTCTCAGTGCGCCCCGCCACAGATGAGGAGGAACCCCCAGAATATGAGGACGCACTTTGCTACCCAGTGCTCATCGTCCACTGTAGCGAGAATTGCCACAACCACAGGTCCTTGCACAGAAATGGTTCCTGTGTGGAGACTTCCTTATGACAACTGACATAAGAGTAGCATTTCTGTAGCAGACAAACACTTTGGACATCAGAAACAGACTATGTGAACACGTCTTAATGTGGGGTACACCGATTAATGCTGGAGCGGCACACTACCTGAAACAAATTCCTGAATCCCGATTGTGAGAATCACCAAAGCAATCACAGTGATTAGTGAGGGGGAACAAAGCGATGGTGGTATGTAAACCTACTACAATGCACACACATGGAAGAAATAAATCTGCCTGGCTTCCAATGATAACCAAGCAGACACAGACTGTTACACTAGACATCCTTGCCATAGCTTTCAAGGTCTCTTGTTTGACACATATATGAAACTGAAGCTGTAGTTACCTCATAAGACCTTTTCCGAGGCCACAGACGAGACGGGCAGGTTTAGACATCTCAATCATTCAGTCCAGTCAGGTTTTTACAGCAATAACTTTGGAAAAAAAAATGAAAAGTGTGAGGAGGAACATCAGAGAAATATGTTGGGCTAATGCATGTTACAGAGAGACATCGGTCAACTTTGAAACCTCCAATCCAGAAGAGACTAACGTTCTCTTGGATACTCTCATTCACTCACAGTCATACCAATCTATGACATTTTACATCACGGGGAACTGTTTGTAATTTTACTTTTTACCGAGTACCTACTACTTTTTAAATGTATTTTTACTTATGTTAGTGACTTGGTGCACTCCCCAGAATGCCTTTTACGTCGCCAGAAAGCTGGTATAAACCTGTTTTCTTGTGCCCTTTATTTGAAGCAAACATTTATCGTGTTTGGTTGCATTTTTAGTTTATCAAGGCTTCTGTTTGATGGAGAATTTGGTATAACTGATGTATTTATTCTACAATTGATTTCTCCCTATTTGACTGTTGACTGTTGGTGCTATACGGCAGCTCCGGAGAGAAACTCGCCTTTATTTTGGATGTTAATGTTTACAGTTGTTGTTTTTGAAACATGTTGTCCTACAAACCTCCAATGTAGGTGTGGGAAGATATTTGTGTCACTGAAACTGAATTGTTTTTTATTTAAATTGCTCAACTTGAATAGCATAATTTCAAATTGAATGTATTAGTTTAATATGTTAATCTTAATCTTTTTAATGCAACTATTCAAGTTGGGTCAATCAAATCCAGTTTCCTGTGACTAATATTTCTGCTCATATATTGAGGTTGGGATTTGGATCTAACATCTGGCACCTGATTTGTATCAACTAATCCAGAAAACGGATTAAAGTCAGTCTTCAGTGAGTGCAATGTAATTGTTTTTCTACCTACTGCCACGATTAAACACGCCGACAACTGTGGTACAAACACATACATGTCACCACATTCTTGTGGTCATAAAAGACAAGTACAGGTTTACATTCACATCGATCACTATCATTAACCACAGTGTGTGTGTGTGTGTCACTGCAAAAAGAACAATAATATATACTTACATTTGCATGATTTCATTCTGCTAAGAAAACGTGTTAATAACCATACCTGAATGTAAACCACCAGCATATGATATATTGTAGTATATGTTCATTATGTCTATAGTAAAGGAACAATGCTCAATTTTTTACCTGTTAAATATAACATTTCCCCGTCAAGTGTATTGAATGTGCTCAGACAGTGGTGGAGCACAGCACACACCAACATGTCACCATGTTCCTAAAGATGTTGATTCATCCCTGACTTTTTTGAGAAGAGTTTACAGGGAGATATGCAAGGATGCAAACGCACTTATGTTTACACGTGGACATCATACAAACTTTATAAGACTTTTTTAACAGGAACATATTGTATGCATCCTAGCAAAACTTGTTCTTACATTGTTGTGACACCAGTATTATGCACTTGACTAGACATTATGAATTGTAGTGAAGCTGAATGTTGATGTAAATTCCCTTCAAATGATAAAGTATTCAAGCTGATATATTGATATGCTCAGACATAAAACAACCACTTAATGCTTCTTGTTAAATTATGTTATCCTCATAACCAAATGGGCTGTATAAATAACTTGATTACCTTTTCAATTATGTATTCAAATTGATCTTATGCTGGAAAAGTTGCAGTATATGTTTTGGGAAGTCCATGTATGTTTAAAACATGGTCCTGGCTCGGATCCTCAAACATTTCTGAATGAACACATTTTGAAAACTAGATGTTGGAATAGCACAGTTGTAAAAAATAAAACGAATGAAGGCTAATTTGACTGTTTCTGATTTGGTTTCAGGGTTGTGGTTGCATGCTGACTCCAAGTGACACCTAATGAACTGTATAATGTCTGGATTTAGCTTTCTGGTGAGTTATACTTTAACAGTTTACTATTTGTATACTTTAAAACAATATGGCAGATAAATAACTGTAAAATAATGGTTAATTTGATTTTTGTTTCACTTATTGTTTTGCAACATAAGCACAATAAGCCTAGTACTTGTAGCAGAGATGATGGCAATACTATATACACTTTGGTGGATAGAAGACAATAAACCAGGCAATGTAAAGTGACTTAGCAGCAGCTCCGTCTTCAGAAGAGACATTTCATTTCAGGCATACTGACAGACATATATCAATCATTATAGAGAAATGTAATTTAATAATTGATTGAAATGTTGTATAAACTAATAATCTAAATGAACTAGTAACTTGCTAACTAGCTGTTAAATACATTTAGTGAAGTAAAAAGCACAATATTGGCTTCTAATATTTAGTGGAGTAATACGATAAAGTAGCATAAACTAAAAGTACTCAGGTTAAGTCAAAGTACCTCAACATTGTCCTTAAGTACAGTAATTGAGTAAATGTGCTTTGTTACTATCCACCAATTGCTTTATTAACACAACAGCAAACTAAGGGAAATGAGGTAGAAATTCACTTGTTTAAGAATGCTTGCTCTGACAGACATCATTTCAATCAGTTATACAATGTTGACATCCAGAAAAAAACGTTAAAATAAACATCTGTCAAATAAATGGGGGGAATGGGGAAATACAAAACAGAGGAAAAGTAAAGATTGTTTTTGTGAAAAAAGCAAAAGATATTTTGTCATTCAATAGAAAAAGGTTTAGTTTTCATTATAAAGTTGAGGATTGGGCAGTGTTGGTTTGGTAGATATGAGTATTCTAGAAAGGAAAAGAGAGTGGCAAATAAATGAAGTAGGAATAAAAACAAGTACCTCAGAAATAATTATCACAATTACCTCAACATGTACACAGATGGTTCTAAGAACAAGGAAGAGTGTGTTGGAATATATACATCCAAGACTTTAAAATATCGATCTCCAAAAGAGCGTCAGATCAACTATCAGTGTACACAGCAGAAATGCTGGCAGTAATAATAGGATTACAGTGGGTTGAAGAGGTCAGACCAGATAGGGTGGTGATATGCACAGATTCATTATCCATATTAAAAAGAATACAGTCAACAACAACAACAACAACAACAACAACAACTGTCACAGAAAATATACTCATAGAACTTAACCATAGCCTGTTAAGACTTCACAGAGGCGGTATAGATCTGCAGTTCTGCAGTTCTGCTGGGTGCCTGCACATGGCCTGCACATGAGGGGGTAAAAGGGAATGAGTGTGCTGATACATTTGCAAAAAGTGAATTACGAAAGGAAATAACATTACCAGTTCAACTTGGAAAAGCAGTAATTAAGAAAAAAGGGCTGGAGATCTGGCAGAAAAGAAGGGACAAAGACCCGAAAGGCAAAGAGTATCATAAGTAGAAAAGAAAATCACAATTAATATTTATAAAGAAATAAACAGAAGGTAGGAAATCATGATAGCTAGACTCAGACTGGATCACACATCATTGAATAGTACTCTGTATGTCATGGGGGAAAGTGACAGTGACAAGTGTGGGAACTGTGGAGTTAAAGAAAATGTGGAACATATCTTATTACATTGTGACATCTATNTGTATATCAGTATGTAGTGTCTCTACTTTAAAGAGTCCTCTCCTGCTGATGTTCATGTGTATATTAGTATGTAGTGTCTCTACACCTCATCGATGCAGGGACAGAACATAATTGATTATAGCATAGTCACGTTGCTTCCTGATCTTCCGGCTGGACAATAACGTTTTTTTTGTTTTGTTTTTCCGTCACACGAATATCAAATCGGTCGGTGACGCAGAGATCAGGGAACAGACGTGACGGCGACTCCAAACACGGAGCAGTCTGTTTTCTCCAACAACACAACAGCAGAATGACCCGCTCTGAATCAGGCCGCTTCGCTGCGGCTCAGACACACATCGATTTATGTTTTTGAAAAACACTTGTTGTCGTCATGTCAGGTTTTTGGTGGATTTAATCAAGTCTTGGATTGCAGAGTGAATGTCCTCTTGCTATTTTCAGATGATATATACGTGTGTACAGTTTGTGAAGGCAGGAGGAAAGCTCCCGCGATCACCGTCTCCTCTGTTCCCCCAAAACCCCGCCCTGAAAATAATGAGTGACAGGCTGATAGTGACCCGATAGAAACGTTATTATTCACTTAATCACTGATTGAGATGATGAAGCTAAATTAATCTCCTATAATCATGGGATGTATGTAACAGTACGACAGAGAATGTAAGTGTGCACCCAAATGCAGTATTTGAGTTTATATGCTGTTGTAAATACTCCTGTTGTCTGCTGTGTTCAGACTCAAGTCATGTTAGTGATGCCACATTCAGGACATTCAGTGTCCTTTCTTTACCAGAAGAGCGTTGCTAGAAGCTGCAGCTAGACTGCAGAAGCATTAGTTTTTGAGGATGGAACACCTTCACACACAGATACTGTATAGGGAGGCTAAACCCATACAATTGATTTATTTTGGTTTATAATTTAATATCAAGACATTTATGTTATTGATTTCTGACGCCTTTCTAAATAAATTACAGCATGTATTCATTGATGAAAACGAAGCCATGTGCAGTAATATAGAGAATTGAGGATGCAACACATTGTTATGCATCAGGATGCATCGGGGTAATTGAAGAGTGAGACCAGTGAAGATGCACCGCCTTACTTTGAAACACTTCTTAAATATTGATGGAAGTCATTTTAACACCAACGAAGAAGACTTTGAGTATCCGGGGAAACCTTGAAGCATATTTACTCTAAATACACAGATAAATGGTCTCTCACCGCTGCAGTGCTCTGCTCCTGTCGGGGCGTGGAGCAGCCAGGGGAGGGGGTCCTCGGAGGCTTTGGTTCCCAGGAACAGGGAGGCGTGGGAAGGGAGAGGTGGGGAGGAAGGGGAGGAGAAAGAGAGGGGGGGCGAAGCTGGAGCTTTCCCCTCTAGAGAGCAGGAGGGAGAGAGAGCTTCTTCGTCTTCATGGTCCAGAAGGGGCCCCATGGGGTCAGCCGTCAGAAAGGAGGGCCCTGTGGACGAGGGACCGTTAGCATCTTACTTCCTGAAACAATATATTGATTTAGTTTGTCGAGCACATGCTGCCTGGTGCTCAGCTGGAGTTTTACTATTACAACTTTGAGACTACTCTGGGAAGTCTCACCCCCACAAGACTGCTAAACACCTGAACTAAGAACATCCATAACATTCATCTGGTTACAACTTATATATATATAGATTATATCTATATATATAAAACATACTGTTCAATAAAACGGATCAAATAGTGCAAGTAAATAAAACACACTTTCCGACTTGTTACCTAATTAAAGGCTCAGCGTAAATGAGTGTCCTTGTGGAAACGATACTAACCTAAGTACAGGGCCTCCACGTCCTCCAAGGCCAGGCAGAGCGTCATCGCGGCTGCTCGGGGTTTTCAGGGAGAATAGAAATAAAAACGAGTCCGGTATCGAGTTGAGGCGGTCGGGCCTGCTGTCGACGGCAGCAAAGCTGAGGGTGATTGCCGAGAGAGACCTGGGGGGAAAGGGAAATGGGTTATATACATCGTTTTAGATTAGCTTTTTATTAGCAACCCCACACTTTAAATGTTCTTTCAGTCTTTATTATTTATCTACCTTTATTTTATAGGTTTTAATCTTTTTATTGTACCGATATGTTCACTTTGTTTTTATATTGCTGCATCGACTCACTTGTCTTCGGTCTTATCTGTCGGAGAGAAACCATTATTTATTTTATTTGTATTATCACACCTTCTACCTCCTTGTGTCGATTAACCTGATCAAATGTTATATTTTGCTGCATGTACCTTTTAAAGTTCTTAACAAATAATCTGAGGGGAATTTCTTGTGTGTTTTTACTTGTGATGAGCTTTGAGCTGCACGTGCTGTATGAAAAGTGCCGTATAAATAAAGCTTTATTAAGTGTGCACTTTATGGACTTTTGTTTATCTGCAAATATGATCATATTTATCTCATCTGCACAATTAATACTTTTACTGTCGCTACTTGAACTATATTTTGATGCTAATACTTTAGTACTTTCACTTGAGTAACATTTTGAATGCAGGACTTTTAATGTACACTCTGGTACTTCTACTTTTACTCAAGTACAAGATCTGAGTACTTCTACTTTTACTCAAGTACAAGATCTGAGTACTTCTACTTAAGTACAGATCTGAGTACTTCTCCCTCCTCTGGTCTCGTTAATGCTGTTAGCATGTGGGGGGATGGGAGGCTAATGATGGGCTAATCCGTTCCTCTGAGGGGACAAAGCTGTGTAGAAAAGAAGAAACGCCCCGCCCTCCACCGGGGGATAACATTGCCTAATTTGGTCATGCTCTGGCCGGTAGCCCCGCCCATCTCATACGTCACGGCGAGATGTGGGAGGGTAACCGCCATTTTCACAACAGAGCAGGAAAGACAAAAAAATACAGCGCGCCATTTTGGACACGCCACGTTGTCATTTGTTCATTATTCAAACATTACTTGTGTTTAAAATCACTCAAACTGTGATTTAAATGTGGAATACATGACTTTAAATAGGGGGGTTTGACAGTTTAATGTATAGCAAGACGACCGTTAAAGCCTGTCTCGCGAGCGTTCTAACTCCAACTGACAGTTTGTGTAATTTGACACCGACACCCAAAAACAGGAAATATTCACAACATTAATGTCGATATTAATACTTATATTTCCCCTAAATATTTAAATAATTATATCACAAAGAGATAGAAACCTCTGCTTTTTATTTACCCCCATTGTTTCTCACACCACGGATGATTACATTTAGATTTAAATACAAATGCTCCTTTTGTAATTCGGATATTTAAACATTAGAATATATTTTCTTATAATTTATTTTATTCTTTTCAAATATGTTGGGATGCTTTGAGTATTTTGTTAACTTATAATGAGCAAAACATCCCAGTCTTAATATATGATAGGATAAGATATGGCATTGAATTGGATAACAAAACGAACATTAATAATTTGATTATATTGGCAAGATATTTTATACACAAATGTCACTTTCTCAAAATGTCCCCAGTATGTATATTTTCCTAAGGACATGAAATTCTACAGTTAAAAATTGTCCAAAAAACATATAAAAGCACAACAACTTTACACATTTCTTAACACCTTTAAACATTTTTTACCAAGGCAGATTCCTCGTTGTTTAAAAACCAAGTTATAATAATAAACACAAGAGAAATACTTCCGGCATGTTGCCAGAAATAGCATCTGTTCTAACTTCAACTGACAGTTTGTAATTTGATACTGACACCCGCAGCTGCCAATATAAATGAAGATATAAAGAAGAATACTTACGCCATGTTGCCAGAAATAGCCAGTGCACTTCGCCTTTGCACAGCCGGGTAATTGCCGATGCAGGAGAGCCGCTGCACGCCGTTAAATTGCCATGTTAGCGGGGATAGATTTCACTGAGGGTCGGTGTTCACATTTAAATATGAATTAACTAAGAGGGTCGGTGTTCACATTTAAATCTGAATTAACGAAGACTGGAGAACAGAGTGGACGAGGTGTAGGGAGTCACGCTAGTTTATATAGAGCCGAAGCACCGCCAGGTGTATTCCTCCGCAGTATCAGTCCGCGGGGAGCGCTTGATTTCAGTGGTAGTGCAGCCGGGCAGTTTGAATCAGTTGACACACAAACAATGAATCGTAAACGAAATTAAAAAAAAGATAAAAAAGAGAAGAAGTTATTTAAATGAACAAAAGAACATTTGAGAAAAAATGTCCAATAAAAAGAGGGTTTGTCTGCTGATGGTGAAGTATTTCTTATTTTAATTCAAGTTTAATTCTTTAGCACACTTTTCACTGGGCAGTAAACACAAACACACCGCTGTGATGACGCTTAACGAGTCTGGCCTGTGATTGGTTGGATTCATTACGTCTAAACGGCTGACAAAATAGATCCATATGGAGCTCTAAACCTACACGAGGGCTCCCTTACTTCAGATGTAGGTCAAATGCAAAATGTAAACATTGGGAAAGAAAGGGGTAAAGACGGACTTCAGGAGATGTTTTATTCCTGTTATTGACTCTTATTTTGCATTTTATGTCAAAGAGAGCTGTTCTGTTTATAATATGTAACGAAAATGCAAAGAAAGAATTAAATAATCATTTATTTGTTTTATTACAAATTAAACAGGTCTTAAGCATAATGTATTATATTAAAAATAACAGATACACTAAACATAAGAAGACTGTATATATATATATATATATTATATTTAGTTCTACCTCCAAATGTGTGTATATGTATATTTATGTCTATATGTGTAGTGTCTCTACTTTAAAGAGTCCTCTCCTGCTGATGTTCAGGTGTATATCAGTATGTAGTGTCTCTACTTTAAAGAGTCCTCTCCTGCTGATGTTCAGGTGTATATCAGTATGTAGTGTCTCTACTTTAAAGAGTCCTCTCCTGCTGATGTTCAGGTGTATATCAGTATGTAGTGTCTCTACTTTAAAGAGTCCTCTCCTGCTGATGTTCAGGTGTATATTCTCTGGGATAGTGAGAAACTACATTTCGATCTGTGTAACACAAAAAGAGGAATTGACAATGAAGATATCAAACAGTCAAAGGAAGTCTTTTATGGAATAACTTTAAAAGTGAAATTCAAACACACTTCATAGATTAAAAGCAATACTTAACGATCAAAACATATACAGCTGAGTTTTATATAAGAGGGTACAGGAGTTTTGGTTGGGTCTATTTAATAAGGTGTCTAAACCTGATGAACCCGGTTGTGTCGGCCCCTGGAGTTCATCTGGAGGTATTACACTATATTCCACTTCAGAACAGAAGATGAGAAGATAATCACGTAATTTAGATATATAAGAGCACACAGTTGAGTAAAACCTTTCATGCAGAATGATACAGAGACCTTATACCTATATAACATATTCAAAAAAAAAAATATATATATATATCAAGGCCACAATTTACACATTTTGAGCATGAATACAAAATTGGTCCTCTCAATTAAATACTTTGTGTACAAAATATTGTAATTAATATAGTATTTAAGACAAATAATTAATACAATCGGATCAATGTTTTGATTAATTTGTGCAAAAGATCAGTCCAAAGGTTATGTTTGTATAATTATTGTTATGCTATTTAATGTTAGCTCGTGTTTATTTCAATACTTGTATTCAATTTTATTTTAGGTTTAAGGGGAGATGGAGTTTAACCCAATTTAATTCAATGTCTTAAGTCTATAGACATGTATTAGTTTTTTATTTAATTTAGTTCTAGTATGAAGCGTCTGTGATGGAAATCTATTATAAATTAAGTTTTCAGATTCAGATTAAAGAGCCACATTTCCCCACACAGCAGCTAAATATATAAGATGTGTAAACAGTCATGTCTGTATGTAAGTATACGACTTTCCAAATATGCAAATGAAGTCTGTATCTGTTACTCTGCTGCACAGTAACCCTTGCCCCTCTTGTTTGTTTTTTTCACCATGTAAAGCAGGCTTGGGTCCCTTGAAAGTCGCTATACATGAGTGGTGCGGTGACGAGTCCTAAAACCCAGAACTGAGTTAGCATTTCACCACTTCCTGTTCCCTCGTCTCAGAGCCAATGGGATCTCTCCATAGGGTTTAGGAAAATAGCTGGAACTAAGGTCTGTGGTTGAGACACATTGAAGAGATGGATCACGTTTTGTTCTACATTAAATCCATCAGCAGTGACCCCACTGGTGATCTCTGAAGAGTGGACGTGTCTGAAAAACGATGGTTGTTACCAAGTGGCTGAATAGGACTACAGAAGTTGTGGAGGCCGTTGTACGTCATTACGCCGAACACGTAAACACTCCTCTAAGTTAGTTTGCCCTGTTCTGCTTGAAAGCAAGTACCTGCCTCCTGCAGACTGTTCAAACAAACGCTTCAACTCGTTCCATTTATAATCTGTGTGTTTGAATATGGATCTGAAGTTGGCGTGACGTTGAAGTCGTGCTGCTGGACTCGGCTGTAGCTCCTTTATAGCATAACGTTAGCATTTTGCTTCTGGCCATTAGATTAATGATTCTAACATTATAAAGGTAAGGTAGACATGTGGAGATTATCCGGCTGAACCAAACGTGCATTTATCAAACAGGTTCGTTTTCCACAGATCTTATTTCGAGCTCTTTTCCAAAATCCTATGGAGAAATCCCGTTGCTTTTTAGTCGAGGGGACCAGCAGCTTACTTCCGGGTAAATACGTCATCCCTGCACCACTCTATCTATTACTATTATTATTATTATAAGACTTTTAAATATGCTAATTAAATTGTATATGTTACTCTGCTGCACAGTAACCCTTGAACAGGTCGTAGAGTTCGTCCAGACCTCTGTTCAGCTCCTCTGTCAGTTTCCTGATCTTTGTGGCCAGCCCCGACTCCAGGACCTTCTTCTGCTCCTTCTTCTGCTCCTTCTTCTGCTCCTTCTTCTGCTCCCTCTTCTGCTCCCTCTTCTGCTTCTTATCGGCAAATTGGAGGTTGATGCCGAGGGCCAGACCCTCCATCAGCCCGGAGGCATGGCCGTGTGCCTCGAGGGCCAGAGCTCTGACCCCCCCGGAGGCTGTGAGCGTCACCATGCTGGCTGCTCTCCCCCCCCCCTGAGAGACTTCGCTGAGGAAGGGGAGGTCGTGGCACTGCAGATGATCCATGCCCTGCTGGATGAAGCTCAGGCTCTCCTGCAGCTTCCCCATGATCTGCTGGAACTCCTCGAAGGTCTTTTCGATCTTCTTCTTGCCCTGGTCCACGTTCGCCTGCAGGAAAAAAAGACAGCAACTTTAAAGGTCTCCTATTATACTATTTTTTAGGCATATATTATAGGTCTCAGATATATAAAAAATGTATAAAAAAACAAGTCTATTAAGTGTTTTGCTTAAAATACCAAACGGATAATTCTAGCTCATATCCCTCTATTTCCGCCTGTTACTAAAGTGTTGATTCTGGGAGGTGACGTGAAGTCATGTGACCGTGCTGTAGTTCCTTTATAGCCTAACATTAGCCACCTTTAGCTTAGCGGTGGTGACGTGAAGTCATGTGACCGTGCTGTAGTTCCTTTATAGCCCAACATTAGCCACCTTTAGCTTAGCGATGGTGACTTGAAGTCATGTGACCGTGCTGTAGTTCCTTTATAGCCCAACATTAGCCACCTTTAGCTTAGCGGTGGTGACGTGAAGTCATGTGACCGTGCTGTAGTTCCTTTATAGCCCAACATTAGCCACCTTTAGCTTAGCGGTGGTGACGTGAAGTCATGTGACCGTGCTGTAGTTCCTTTATAGCCCAACATTAGCCACCTTTAGCTTAGCGGTGGTGACGTGAAGTCATGTGACCGTGCTGTAGTTCCTTTATAGCCCAACATTAGCCGCCTTTAGCTTAGCGGTGGTGACGTGAAGACATGTGACCGTGCTGTAGTTCCTTTTTAGCCCAACATTAGCCTCCTTTCGCTCAGCGGTGGTGACGTGAAGTCATGTGAGCGTGCTGTAGTTCCTTTATAGCCCAATATTAGCCACCTTTAGATTAAGTGTAAGTATCATAAACGTTTATTTTAGACTTTTTTACAGTACTAATCTGATTATTGCAGGATCATCAAAGCTCAAGCTGAAAATCTGTATAAAGCTATCCAGCGTTTCAACCTCCTGTTGTCTGAACACGGAGAAACTCTGAAGAAACACACACAGGAGCTGCTCTGCATCGCGGACAACTTAGACAAGGTAACCAGAAAACATCTGTTCAAATACATGTTGTGCCCACTGCAGGTGGTGAAGGTAAAAACTGTGACTCTCAGATAACACCATGAAACTTCTCCACTTCATTATTGACATTAACACAACTATTTTATGTAAATGTTTACTTTTTATTATTATTTTGTTTGTTATCGTACATTTTTGTAATGTTTTATTTTTTGTAATTCTTAAATGTTTAACTTTTTTCAATAACTTTTTAATTCTTACATTTTTTTTATTTCTACTTTTAAGTTTTGTATTCTTACATTTTTTTACTTTTTTCAATTTGTATTTTTATTTTTTTATTGGTTTCATTGTTCTTAAAACATTTTTTTTTTAATTCTCAAATGTTCTACTTTTTTCAATTTTTACTTTTAATTATTTCTTTTAAAATACATTTCAATGTTTTTATTCTTCAATTTTTTCAATTTGACTTTTATTCTTTATTTTTTAAATTTTTGTATTCTATTCCTACATTTAATTTTGTTGCAGGTGTCAAAGGGGACAAAGATAGCGGGCATCACAGGCGGAGCGACGTCAGCGGTGGGGGGGGTTGCAGCAGTAGCAGGCGTCGCTCTGGCTCCCTTCACCTTGGGGGCCTCGCTGCTGCTGACGGTCGCCGGCGCCGGGGTGATGGCGGCGGGGGGGATCACCGGAGCCTCCGCCGCCATCGCACACAAGGTGACCAGAAACTCTCCCAAATACAGACAACGCCTGAAGGCAGCATCTCACTGGACCAATGGGATTCCTCCATGTGATTTTAGTTTGTGATACTTACACGTTTTATTTAGATGGATAATCTTGTGTTTCTTTTATGTATGCCTTTTTTAAGACACCACTACTAAGCTAAAGGAGGCTAATGTTGGGCTATAAAGTAACTACAGCACGGTCACATGACTTCACGTCACCACCGCTAAGCTAAAGGTGGCTAATGTTAGGCTATAAAGGAACTACAGCACGGTCACATGACTTCACGTCACCTCCCAGAATCNACTTTTCCCTCTGCCTACAACCCGCAGCCAAATAACATGAGACGGACCATGCCTGCAGGAGCAAGCTGAGTTTACAGAGGGATGAAAATGTTTAAAAGGACCCTCTGTAAACTCAGCTTGCTCCTGCAGGCATGGTCCGTCTCATGTTATTTGGCTGCGGGTTGTAGGCAGAGGGAAAAGTCCCAACAAGGAAATGTTACGTAACACTGAGTGTCTCTCTGGACATCTGAGTGAAAAACAAGTTGGAGCTTAAACTCTTCCAGCAGGAGGATTGTGTTTGCACTGTGTGTTGTGGACAAAAGGGGGACTTTTAATAGTTTGGGCAAAAAACTAAAAGGTAGCAATAGCATGCGGTACAGGAATTCGTTTTGGTTTCAAGACCCTGGTTCGCGGAGGATACCAAAAAAGTCCTAAAGACAAGGTAAACTTAACTATGCGCATTTAAAAAAAAAGAGGAATAGGTACCATGGGGTCAGATTATAATATAATATACCTCTTCATATTAATATATAATTTTTCAAAGGGGGGTTCGTTTAGCATGAAACACTTGAAATAACTAAAGGACAAGTTAAACAAGAAAGTGGAAAGAAAGGGCGGTGATAGAAAACTATTTCAGCTAAAAAAGTTAGCAATGATTGAGAGTCAGACCTAAACATTTCACATGTGTGTATCTCACACTGCACTGTAACTTTTATCCATGTATCTTTGCAAATACATAATCCCAAAGGTCCAAGAGGCACACGTGATAAAGAATTTCTTTAATTAGCTTTTTGTTTGTTTTCAAAAATTAGATTTCCGTGCCCATTGTTTATAATCCGTCAAACCGGTAATTAAACTATGAACTACAAAATTAAATTAAAAAGTAAACCAAATCTGCAAGTTGCTTTTTATAATGCAACACAATACAACATTAATATAATTTATTACATATTTTATGTCAACAGATTACACATAATTGTATTGGGTATCAAATCAGGATTATTTAATTGCCAAGTAAGTTTTCACATGAAATGTAGGCTACATCATACATAGACAGAGAGAGAGAGAGAGAGAGAGAGAGAGAGAGAGAGAGAGAGAGAGAGAGAGAGAAAGAGAGAGAGAGAGAGAAAGTATAGAATTGTTATACAAATTATTATAACATTTAAAATAAATCACAAAAACACTTAAATATATAAAAAAGAATAAATATATTTACGATATCACATTTTACTGTGGAATAGGCCTATACGTAAAAGTTGAAGAGCTGTGCAGTTTTAAAGTGGTTGCATTGTGCACATCTGTGCAAAATACTCATAAACATTGCCAAAATAAAACAGAAGAAGAGAGATATTGGCTTGTTTTGCACTTTGCACACGGTCCCCCAAAATCAGTTGTCTTTTTGGGTAAATCCTTTAAGGTTGTTATTGTAATCTACTGTCATCAATATGCAATAATAACCATTGCCGTTTGAGAAAGAAGTATTTCCTCCTTTCTTTTTACTCCACATTTGAATGTTTCTGCAACTTGTTTACATAAATAATAGTGAGGTTGCGTTTGTGTTCTGATTCAGACCACTGTGTTCATGTTCACACTGTGGTTTCAGAGGTTTTGCAGGTGAGAAAAACACTTCCATGAGTGAATACCATGCAGTGAGTCAGTGCTGTTTATCTACCTGCTTGTTTGATGTGTTGAATATCATTTGTCTAGCAGAAACCAGGACTTTAATCCTTTGATATATTTTATATGTCAGTTCTTAAAATGAGCAAAGAAGAAGCTTGAGGTGTCTTTTATCTTCACATCTGGGTTTTCCATGTCAAGCGTTTTAGGTAAGAGATGGAAAAAATCATGTCGGCCTAAGCTTAAGAAAGTCTCACAGTCAACACCCTGGCACTCCGACGGACTTTATACAGAAGCAAACACCTTAATGAGAAAAGTTGGGGTGATTGTTTTAATGTTTTTTAATGCGCAGTGACCTCCTTCAGGATTAAAATGTAAGTTTATTTTACAAACCTAACCAGTGGCGTCAATTCAGCCAAAGCTAAGGTATGGCAAGGTTACTAGTCACATGACTTAACTACAGTATCAATCAATATACATGCCCAGCAAATAATCATAACAAAAGTGACAAGTCTGCTATGTAGCTTTTCTGTGTGGTTAGGAAAATTTGAACTTTTTCAAATGCAGCCTCACTCACATCCCGCTAGCGCAAGTAACTATGGACACAAACACTTAACTACGCACGTCAATCAATCAATTCAGTCAAATGCGCCGTTACGCATCCGTTTTCAGCACCATGGATAGCAAGCGGCAGGGTTAGACAGCAGTAATAGCCTTTCTGACACAATTTCACTCTTTCTGTTCACTTCATTCACTATGTAATTGCAACAATATCANCTTTGTTGAGTTTATGCTAGCTAAACAAGTAGTGGTTGTGGTCTACAGCAGTAATTAATATATTATAGCCTACTGCTTTGGCACTAACGGCGTTAGTGCCCATAGACTATATATAAAGATAGCGACACGAACCGTTAGCTCCGCCCCTTCGCTCCAACCCCCCTCCCTCCCCCCACATCTACAGCTGAAAATGACTTTTGCGACACATTTATCGCAAGAAGTGTAGCAAAAGTCAAGACCGCAGATTCGTCGATTTATACTGCCACAGAGCAGATTCGTCAAGTTGTAATGACTGATTTGAGAGGTTGTAATAACCAAGTTGCAGTTGCAATATATATTTTTCTGCAAGTGAATATTTCATCACTAAGTTCATTTTTTTTCTACAAGCTACAAAACTTTTGTTTTTCTTCTGTGACTTCAAATTTGGTTCACAGATACGTGGATATTTTATACAAGTGTAAATGTATGCACACAAACTCAGATTTTTTTTCTGCAAGTGCTCACATCAGGTTTTACACGCTCTCGCATTTTGCACCATATCTACCTTCATTAACTACCTAAAAGGCATATCATCTTTAAGTTCTGTCAGTTCAGGGACAGCAGTGAATTATACTTAAATAAACATGTATTGACTGTGTATCTTGCCATTCATAAGCACATTTTAAGTAACTATAAAAAGAAAGGGTCTACACTAACAGAAACAAAGCTAATGAGGTTGCTGTTAAGCTACGGTCATCATCTTTTTTTCAAAGTAGAAATTGAGGTCATGCAGTGAGTTACATGTTGAGTTGATCACCTATTTTATCTGCCAACAGCAGCAAGTTTCATTGCAGGTTCTCAGCAATCTGACATTTAACGTCATCTGAACCTTTGTGGGGATGAAAACAGGTAACCAAAGTAGAGCATCAAAGTACTGAAGCTACTGTCACAGTTTCTGGGTTTAGCAAAACACCACCAAACTAGGTCAGTGGCCTCTTTAAGATGTTTCTTTCAACACAGGATAGATCACTTTATTCAGAAGCATCGCTCAAAGCAAGTCATCTGAGGAAGATACATGAACGCTCAAAATGTGTTGGATGTATCCTGATGAGAAAACCCTGAAGGCACACAGACGCCATTCAATTCTGGTGAGTTCTTTCTTACCCTATCAACTAATGTAACTGGAAGGTGTTTAGGGTTTCTGATAGAAACGCAAATGTACAAAAAAAAGGTAGAAAATCTACTGGATTGAACATGCATAGCTGTTTGTCTTGAAACAACATCATAACATTGATCTGGCTGCTACTTAGGAATTATTTATCTAATATATCATTCCAATCACTTTCACTATTTCACTATTTACAATTTTACTTTTGTATTTACTATTTAATTTACAATTTTTTTCTGTTTATCTGTTTTATTGTGTTGCACTGTTCTTCGTCATAACTACACTGTAGCTATGCACGTATAACTAATAAAAGCCTTGAACCTTGTTTTAGAAACGTCTTTAAAAATCTAAAGTTGAAGTTTGACGTAATGTATTTTAATCTCAGTCAGATCTCAGGATTACACAGAATATAAATACCCTTTGGTCTTATCTACCATGGTGCATGCGTCAAACACTGTCTCTTCCTCATGTCAGACAGAAGATCTTCTGCACACAGACTGCTGAATGGCTAAGGGTAAGTTTTAAAGGTCACATATTTACGGAAATTCCCACTGACTAATTTTTACCCAAAAAATATTTGGTGATTTATAATATTAACAACTTGTGTTAACAGCTGCTGAGTCTAAATGAGAATAAATGCTGCAATGAATCTCTCCTCCACGCTTTGGAGGATCCTCATTGTTCTTCTCTGTTTTTCCATTAAGCGTGAGTATTACAGTTAAAATACATCCATCAATGCTATCACTATTGGCTTGTTAATGTCTGTTAGAGCGCACTCCCTGATTTAGAGGTAGCACAACTTGGTAGCTTTTTTGGTTTCGTCTTTGCAGCTCTGCTGAGCTTAAAAGAATTTCGATATATTTTGCATTACAATGAAATAATCATTGGAAGACACACTTCTTTGTCTTAAACCTTTCCTGGGATGTGTTATTATAAAGAGAAAGCAGAAAGAAAGAATCGCATTCCTGCATTTTAGAATTTAAACATGTTTACTGGACTGCAGGTTTTAAATGAACTAACACTTACTTTGAAAATTCACATAATTGCTTGCTTTGAATAGTACTGCTATGTAAACCTCTGCGTCTGTGTTTTTTGAACATGTTTTCCTTTGCTCCCAGTTTGCAGCTCTCAAATGAATCTCCTGGGCTTCCTGACAGTTAAACCAGCTAAACTCTTCCTCATCGGCTCAAACCTGACAGTGTACTGCCACACCAACAAATGTGAAAAGGGGTACGAATGTTAGACATAATTTTATAGCCTACAATACAATATGACTATTGTCTTCTGTACATGCATCTTTGTATACAGTTCATTATGTAGAAAGTATTCAAATGCAGTTATGTTATTGTCCTCCAGTTTCAAATTGTCCCTGGAGGTGAATGGCGAGACTGTGACTTCTTCCAAAGAAATCAACTGCACAGCGATATTCAATCTGATCAATTTCCGGACGCCATCTTCTTCAGTGATCTGCATGCTGAAGGGCCCAGACTCTTCTAAGATTGTCGATGGAGGGGACCTTAAAGGCGGGCGTATGTACAGTTATCTCTGACGTCTACAGTACATTCATGTAGGATGTGTGAATTACAGCAATATTTTCTAAAGACAATATCTGTCCAACTCAATTAAGCTGCGTTCACATGACACGCAATTTTCTCTTTACTCACTGTAAAGTTTTGCGTTTAGAGCCTTGCGGTGAAAACAGCCAGTACGTTTAGTTTCTACAGTTGCGTTCACTGCTACATACACCTGTCCTCTGATTGGTTGTACGTTGAAAGGTCAGCGGTACACGAGGTCAAAGTTTAAGAAGCTCTGCGACTATTTCGAGCATGATTTTGAGACGTGAATTAAGCTCTAAGCTACATTCACATGATACACAGTCTGCTCTTTGCTCACTGCAAGGTTTGGTGCAGAGCCTTGTGGTGAAAACAGGCAGTTAGTTTTGGCAGTTTAGCTTCTGTGGTTAGCTAGCTTCGCGCGCTGCATACAGCTCTCCTCTGATAAGGTCAACAAGGTCAAATTTGAAATGAATAGAACTTTGAAATCAGATCTTAGCAATAATTTAGAGCGGTGCAAAACGCAGAGGATAGTGCCTTCGCCTAATCGGACCGCAAAGGTTTCTCCATGGAAACACAACAGCAATGTCAACGGTATCATGTGAACGCAGCTTTTTGTTGCTAGGTAGTTTTGAAGGACATGGAAGCTATTTTCTGTAGTTTTAAGCAATCGGAGATGCAAGATGACTAAATCCATTTGTCTTGAGGCAGGAATTAAGGTAGATATGTTCAAGATACCATATATCAAACTCCTATTTACTTATATTTCAACCCTTGTGATGAGCAGCTGTCATAACAAAATAGTTAAATGATCATGTCCAAATATATAAAGTACCAAAAAGGTAAAAAAAAAAGCATATTCTCAAAATGTTAAGTTAAAATTATCTTTCCGTCTTAAATTTTGAAGAAACTGTACAACTTTGATATGATTTGGATTAATAAAAAACTCCAATTATTCTTTAGTTGAAAAAGTAATATTACACTTTCTTTTTGTGTGACGGTTTAAAGGACATATGTTTTGCATTTCTAAGCAGGCATACAAAAATGACTTTTAAAAATATGTTTCTATTTTGTTTCCCATCCCCTGTACTTGAAGTCCCTCCAGATAAACCTGAAAACATAATATGTGAAACGACAAGAAGCTCAGATAATATAATATGCTCCTGGGAGAAAGGACAGAAAACACACGTCAATACCACCTACAACATTTCACTAAACAGGTACGGTGTTCTTTTTTTAAGCCAAATTAATCTTTACCAGGTTTTCTTGGAGGTTAGTTTATGCTTTTGAAAACAGAAAACCTTATTTTTAATTGGTATTTTAGCTGTTGATTTTGTATTTGCAGGGAAAATGGGACCCGGATAGAGTTGTATCAGATCCAAGATGATAAACAAAGGGGTAGGCCTAACCCCCTCACCATATCCAGAGCGGTGATAGAAGAAAACATTAAATACCAGTTGATTATCACTGCTTACAATCCCTTTGGAGAATCTCAATCTGATCCATTCATCTTCTGTTTAAAGGATCTGGGTAAGACATCATTTCTGCAGTGTTGGGGGGTTTACTTTAAAAAAAAAAATGTCAGTGACAATATAGTTACATGTAAAAAAACAAACATTAAATGAATCTTAGTTTCACAAAATAAAAGTATTGTAACCCGATTACTTTCTGTTACTTTTGGATTACCTTAATATTAAATGCCAGGTGTTGAGGCATTTGGCTGAGCTTGCAGCATGACACCTTGGATTATCTGAGCCACATTTATATTAGTTTGTATTGCAGTGATACCAGAGACCCCTCGTATCGTGAACATAGAGTTTGGGAATAACTCCCAAGCAGCCGTGTTGCGATGGGAAACCTCCGACTCCTCCGAGCATCTCAGATCTGATGTCTGGCTCCGCACAGATAAGGCCTCCTCCTGGGTAGAGTCAAACTACAACACCTATGATAGCTTAGTGGTCATTAGCATTAGCCTTAATCAGCCATTGTTGATGTGACTTAGGGTCTTGATGTTTTCTAGACAGTGGCAGAGGGAGCCGATCTCAACGAGAGTCAGATTCGAGTGTCTGGCCTGAGGCCTCTGACTGATTATGAGTTCCAGATGAGAACATACATGCCGCATAACAACACGCCCAGGTCAAACTGCAGCAAATGGAGCGCATCTGTGAGGGGGAGAAGTCCTGGAAAAGGTTGAGCTCACAAATATTACACTTTTTTTTTTTTTTAATGTGATGCACTCAAATAAACCTGTGATTAAACGTATCTTCAGGTCCGTCTCAGCAGCTGCATGTGTGGAGGACGTTCGTCAGCCCGGGGTCAAATGTGACTGTTTTGTGGAAGGTAATGTAATCATATTATTCATTTTGTAATGCAAACATGCATTCATAGCGAAAGCCAAACATGAATCAAAAATTAGTTTAATTTTTCACAATTGTATCAATTTAGTCAACTTAAAACCAGTTGCTGTCTATAGTGATGAGTGGTTCAACAAATGCCCAAAACACCATATTTGCATAACAATCCTACTACCACTGATCTCATATGCATGCATTGCAGTTTTTAAGGAACGGGAACACCCACAACCACAATTTAGAAAAAAGTGTGACCTGATTATGACTCCGGGTCAACTTGTTTCTGTATTCTCTTTCCGACCCTGTCCTGAACCCCTCTCACTGAAACTAACTTCAGTGTTTTGAATGCCTTTTATCGTAAAATTACTTTTTACAGATAACAAATCTTTAAAATGACCTCTTTAAGATGTTGTGACCTTTGGACTGAGCCAGACTTTCTGATTCAAGTTTTACTGCAGAGCTTCTGGTAGCTATGGGTTGATATTTATAAATATGAAACGTTCTGCATTAAAATGTGCAAAAATTGAAGCCTGCATTTTATATATATTGTTGAATTGTGTACAATATAAAAAATGGTATCCCTAGATACATTTGAAATATTAGTCAAGATAACGGGCCTTCTATAAATTGCCTGCAATGGCGATTGTTTCTGCACATGCGTCCGAGTTGTGGTTTTCAGCCAGCAGTGGTATATTGACTTTATATCCAGTTTTGAGGCCATATTTGTTCATGCTATTATCTGTTATCTAACTCCTGGAAATAAATTGAATCACCATATTACCCAAACTTCTTCCCCAGCCTCCATCTCCAGAGGATTACAGTGGAGTGGTGCAACAGTACAAGATGTTTCTGGGTAATGAGCAGAAACAGGAAGTGCTCTATGGACCTGCATCGAGTTCAGTTCCTGTTCCAGCAGAAATCAAGGCAATAAGCATCAGTGCCATCACCTCGTATGGGACGTCTCCACAGGCTGATGTACCACTCAAACATTCAGGTATACAAATATTTTCACAGAAGATGAAACCAAGAAAAACTGGTTTGAGTTAAATTAAGAAAGAAAAAAAAGCCCAATAAAGTTGAATAATTTCTTGTGTTTTAGGTGGTTTTGGACCTGTTTTAAGAAAGTTGGCTCCTGCAGATAGCAGCAGTGCTGTTCTCGCCTCCTGGACGTGGACGGACGATAAACACTGGTCCACATCTGGAGGAGAACCTCTGCACTATGTTGTACAATGGACAACTGTACCTGGAGCAGAGATGAAGTGGCAACGAGTGTCTAAAGATCAAAACAACACTTTAATTACAGGTACCCAATAAATCACACATGATGATAACTCAAAACCTGGCATTGCATCACATAAAAATAAAACATGGCACCAAATGTTTGGAAATGTCTTCAGCTGAGATGAAGCAGCGTCCTCTTGTGGGCAGTTGGAAGAAGTACATTTGTTTAAAGCTCTTAATACAGATGAGTTTACATGCATGAGCAAAGTTAATGTTTAGTGTACTCATTGTGAGAGAGTTTATTTCTCCTGTTTTGTTTCAGGCCTGAGAGCAGGTGTGAGGTACAACGTCTCTCTGTACGCTGTGACCAGCAGAGGAGTCAGCGCTCCATCCTCCAGGCTGGTCTACTCCAAAGAACAGAGTAAGAGTCATAGCTTTGTGCTTCACTTAAAAAAAAAAGCTCCTTGACTGCCTTTAGAGGATAAAAAAAGTCTGCGTTAACAATATGATAGTATGGCATGATTTTACGCTGTAATGGTGGGTTTAATGGGTTTCGATAGGGACATTTTTAAGGGGCTGGACAAATTAAAAGTGTAAAAATATCCCTAGTGAGGCACAAGGGGATTAAGTGGAGAATATTTCATCACACAAACAGTTGGGAATACCTTTATTAGTCCCACAGAGGGGACATTTACATTGTTGCTGTAAAGTGTCTTTTTTAAAATTATATGTACAGAACTTTGGCTCAACCAAAAATCGTTTCAAAATGTGCTATATTTAATTAAAACTTGATTTGATTTGATTACAGCAGAAAAGAGCCAAAGACTGCTTGCTTAATGTTACCTAAGCATGCATAACACATCTTTTAATAAAAAAGTTACACATATTGTAAAAATGCACATCCCGTAACAGTTCTGAGGATTTAGAACAGAATTGATCAGAATCAGAAACAGGTTTATTGCCAAGTAGGTTTACGCATACAAGGAATTTGCTTTGGTGTGAATGGCTCATATGTAAACACAGAAAGAGAAAGGAAAATGTAAGATTTAATTTTAAGTAAAAAATGTATACACCAAATATATGAATATACAAAAAAACTAAGTACAGTATAACAGGACAAAACACTCAGAACTAAAATATATGAATGAAGTATTGGGATTATATTCCCATCTCCAGCATTATCCTCTCTCTGTCCCACTGTCTGTTCCAGAGCCGGTTTCTGGACCCAACCTGTCAGTTCTGGTCCACGAGGCCCGGCGGGTCCACATCCAGTGGGACGAGCTTCCTGTGGACCAGCAGAGAGGCTTCATCACACACTACACCGTCTATCTGCAGACACTCGACTCCAGCAACACTAAACTCAGCGGTGAGCTTATTTAAATGAAAATGGCTGAAACTATTGATTGATTAAACAACTAGTTGATTGACTGAAAATTCAGCAGGTGCTATTTTTAAATGTGAAGATTGTTTTTGTAATTTCTTTCAATCAGAAATGAGTTTTCAAGAAAACTGCTTTTCTTTGTCTTTTTTTTGTTTATTTTTAAGACTGTAAGTTGGAAAAATCAAATGACGCTAAGACGTCCCCTTCTGCTCTAAGACGTTGTGAAAAACACTTGAATCATTAATGAAAATTGATTTTGCAGCACTACCTTTGAACATTGTTAGGATGATCCTAATTCTGAATATACAACTTTTTCTCAATTTTTTATTTAAATATTTCACATATTTATTTCAGTACTGTAAACACAACAAGATTCAATCCACCTGCATTGTATTGATATTTTTAAATTTGATTTATCCTGTAATAGTAAAACATTATTTGCATGGCACTGTGGGTAATTTATGAGATCAGACGGCTCTGAGGAAACACAATTGTGCTGTGCTTGTTTCCTGTTCTTGTACATGAGTAGGACTTATCTTTATGCTCTGCTAACCCTATGTCGTGTGTACTTTACCTGCCTGTGTATGCAGATGTGTGGGAAATACCTATATATGTGCAGTAGAATGCATATTTTGTGTGTCACAAGCCACAGTGACATAATGGAAAGTTTGCAGACAGCATTCCACTGATACTCCCCTCCCACAATGCATCAGCAGTCAGCAGGGTATTTCACCTCTCACTTCCAGTAACGTGGTGAATGTCACACAGCAAGTTTGACTCTTTTGATAATTATTCATTATTAAAACAGCAAACATCCACATACAATATAGAACTTGTGAAGAAAATCTGTTGTTCTAGCATTGATCCATCAGAAACCCCTCACCATACATAAACATGTGCACGTTTTATCTCAGAAAGCTTGACTTGGAGTTATTTCCTCCAGGCTTTTTGTTGGACCAAACTGATTGTACATTTGAATTTATCTTTGACTAGGACAAAGGAATGTATGTATTAACTAGTGAGAACATTCAAACCCTGGTTGTCTTGTTCACAGTGCTTTCAGTGAATCATAGTTTTCAAGAACTGGCTTTTACCACGAACAGGAAGTCGTGTGGCTACATGCACACATGCAAACATAAGGCTGTTACTAACCAGCCTGCCTCATACACTATTTCCAGAACCTCAATGTTAAAACACCTGAGAGCTTACTCTTGTTGACATGTTGTATATGTACTTTATATAGTGGAATTCTTTAAGTCATTTCATCTGATGTTTTACGTCATTAATATCTTATTCTCATCTTATTTCCTTTTTTTGCAGTTACTTATGTCTCACATAAATTACCACATAATAATAAATGATCAGAATCCAGTGCTAGTCTGAAGACAGCAGTTCTGATGTCACTTGTTCTCCATGGCCTTTGACCCCTAACCCATCACAGTCCCCCTGCTTCCACTCCTACTGCTATTTATTTAATTTTTTACTTTATTATTTTCCCCCTTTGTTTGTTTGTTTGTTTGTTCACCATGTAAAGCAGCCTTGGGTCCCTCGAAAGGCGCTATACAAATGTAATCTATTATTATTATTATTATTATTACACTGACAAAAATATAGAAATAAGCCGTTAAAGACATACTCTTGGGTTGTCCTGCAAACTTAGGTATTTCGCAGTACATTTCTAAAGCTGTGCCAGAATAGACTGGGCTCTCATTTCAGACAAAATATAGAACTTTTTGAACATTAGAGCATGTAAACATGTTTCAGTAGAGGCACAAAATATAAATATGAACCTGAAAATGAGAACAAAATGTCCATATTACCATATGGTATTACCATAATAAAGGAAACTGTGATGGAAACTTCTGAAGCAATGGAGACAGGACTCAGAGAGACACGGGGAGAGCTCGAACTTTGATGGCAAATACTGATGGTTTATTTGGAGCTTCGGCCGGAGAATTCACAAGACATGTGCTGAGCCACGAGTTGACACAACGGATGCCAAACCAATTCTGAAGATCTCTACCCCAGACCAATGTATTTAGCTAGTTCTGAGAGAATAATCAACATTGTGCATAACAAGATAAAGCCCAATGTTGCAGGCCTGTGCTCAGTGAGGGCAGTACCAACAGATAAACTGGGTCAAAGTTATGGGCCCAGGAAAATATTTCCCCAACAGAAACCATGACTGTGTTTTATCCAGTGACGGTGTCTGGCTCCGGCCCCAGGATTCTGTGGCTGGACTGTCCTGAAGGAACTCTGGCTGTGCAGCTCTCCGCCTCCACCTCCGCAGGAGAAGGACAGCCGGGGAAGCGGATCTTCTCCCAGCCTGAATCCCCTGCAGGTCAGTCTCCTGATGCCATCCTGTACCCCGATCTATGCCTGGTCTGGGAAGTCATTTCCCAGTATCTGTAATTCCCTTTCATTTTATATATAGACAAGAAATCATCATGCGGTAGGATTAACTAAACTTTGTGTCTCAACTCACTGAAAATGTGCTGTGTCTTTTCCTTCTTCTTTCCTTTAGTTGTCCTGGTGATTGGGATCGTTTTTGTCATAACCCTCTTTCTGGCGATCGTAGCCAACCTGATGTGCTGGAGTTGTGTGAGAAAAAGGTATTAATAAGCATTACTTATGTACTATTGTTTAATGGAAACCAAACGATCATAACAACGGACATCATATAACAATAGTGAGAATATTCTGAGGATCAACAACACTGCTTTCTTAATTCACTGCAAATGATTTTGAATGTGCATAGGTTTTGTTTTACTAGTAATCTGGATGGATGCCTCTGTGGCTGACTTCATGAAATGCAACACCGCAATATGAGCCCCAGATCATATAGCCACACAATTGATATGAACAGAAACCCCTTCGCAAAGATTAAAATCTGTATATGTGGTCAAATCAACCCGATAAGTGGTTTTAGCTGAATACTGAGATACTGAATGTGTGCTTCATGCAATATAGCATTGCCATTATGAGTAATACACATTAGCAGTTTAACAATACTTTTCTGAATCCTGTACATCATGCATGATTACTGCAGCTGATAATTACCAACATTATCAATACTGAAATGTGTCTTTCTATCTCAGGATTAAACAGAAATGTATATCCTGGGGACCGGCCTGGCTTGATGAGAACTTACCAAAACTAGGAAACAGTAATGCCATCAGACTACTAAAGGTAATGAATTCACTGTTACCTCTTTTTGTGTGAACTGCTGTCACCAAAAGAGCAACAACTCTGCAACTACACCAACAGGAACAATACAAGAATAGTTATATTTGATCAAAGACAACAACATTGTAGTATCTAGACTAGGTTTACCAGCCTGGACTATAGCAGTATGTGGTCCATCTCTACAATTCAACTTGTACTTTCACACAAACTACATCACATCACATCAGTACAATCCTGGCTTCTCTGTATTGGCTTTCGTAAAGTATTGATTTAAGATTGTATGGATCACTATTAAAGCACATCTGGGTCAGGCCCTAAGCTATATAGCAGAAAGGTTTGACCCTGTGAAGCAGCTCCGAAGTCAAAGTTTGAATTTAAAGGGGCCCTTTTTGGAGTTAATCATTCTTGTAGTGTGTGTTCCCTTGTGAGGGAGTTTGTTTCCCACAGAAACATAATTATTTAGTGGGAATGCTGATACAGTATTCCAACTATCTGTTATGCTACGCACAAAATTCTTTATTATTCCGCCGGGTTATTTTGCACCTCTTCTTCTCCCACATTCCACATTGAAGAAACTCAGTTCAAACATCAAAACGTTCAGCTCGGTC